TTGACTTCAGAACCTAGCAGATGTCCTCAGGTTCATCACACCAGTCCCTCTGAGCCTCAGTGTCCCCACGTTCCTTGTGTGATTTATAAGGATTTTACAGGAATCACTGAAAGACTGGCTGTGAATGAAACAGTCCTGTTACTTTCCTTATTATGTCAGCATTTCCTAAATGTAACCACCTGATAGAGAAACCCATTGGCTTAGCTTTGTGGATATTATTTTTACCATTTAATTAGGTGGTTCTAGTCTGATCACAACCTTGTGTAAAAAGAGGACTGTATCAGTTACTGGTTTCTTGGAGCAAAAAAAAAAAGTGTGTACTGCAGGTTCAACCAAGATCTCACTCAGTCCTCCAAGTTGACTAGCTAGAAGTGGTTCACATGTCCAACTATTAAAACAGACATTGGTGAGAAGAGTTAGACAGATAAGATTGGCTGGAGCAGTCCTGTCTTGTACCCAGCATCACGTGAAAGACGGGACACTCCTGACCTCGATGTAGAAATATGAATGACAGGCTGAGAACCAAGCGTCTAGTATAGCATTTGCAAGACTCCACTCTACGTTGAATGGCTGCGTGGCTTCATGTCCAAATCCCCTGTGACTCTCTGAACTCTGGGGCAGAGGGGCCACTGTCTTTTTACCAGAACCCAGAGCAATTGCTGAAACCCAGTGGGAACTCAATAAGCACTTACTGGATTTCGTCATCATTTTTTATCCATCTCAGCCCCAAGGCTCTACAAGTTTCTCAGTGGTAGGCTGACGACATCTCTGCCCTTTCTCTGGGCTAGATGGAGACTTAGCAGAGAGGAATAAACACTCCCTGGTATGTCTAAGCTCCTGTTGGACTCCTGTGAGTCTTTGTTTAGAATGATTTCATTCCCTTGGCCTCTTTACATTACTATCTAAAACCTTTAGAACTAATTAGAAGTGGGAGGATCAAAGATGATATAGTTTAAATTCACTTCCCACCTCACCCACTTAAAGAACCCTGCATCGCCCATTAAGCTGGAGGCACTTGCTGACAGGAAGGGAACCATCTGGTGAACAAGTTCTGTTAATTACGTTGGAGCATACTAACGAGACTAGAGAACAGCCCTTAATGACCTTCCCCTTGGTGGCGGAATCCACTGCAGAGTAGACAGTCATGGCTCAGAGCCAAAAGCTAATGGTTAGTATTGGCACTGAGCACTCCTGCTCACTAGGACTCAGTAATCTCCTCTCCAGAGAGCAAGTATTTCAGGCATTTGTAGCATAAATCTTACCACCTGCATGTAACTGAGCTCCAAAACAGTTATTTAGGGCATCATTTGGAACTCTCAAAAAATCCACCTGGGTGTTACCTTCCCCCTATCTTTCTTTGCTTTTGGACATATCAAATAAGAGCAAAGCTTTGCATTTTGTTTCAACCAATAACAACATTTAAATGCTACTTGGCAAAGGACTGATGTAATTATTGCATACCCGAAAGGGATAAAGAAACACAGAAATAATTATCCTCATTAAGACCTGGATCAGTTAATTATTTATAATAATATTTGTAATTCCACATTCTGCGGAATCCTCCTGACAACTCTGTGTCACCCCTGCAAAAAGGCTGAAAAAAAGCTTGTGCTCGTCTGTCTGAGTTAGCCATAGTGTCAAAATAACCGCACATTTTCTTTCATGTATCTTCCTCCTACTGGCTTTGATAAATACTTTTAAATGAAGGCTGGAGAGATGACACAGCAGTAAAGACCATACTGCTCTTGCAGAGGACCTGGGTTCAATTCCCAGCACCCATACTGGGTGGTTGACAATGACCCATAACTCCAGTTCCAGGGGGGGTCAGACGCCCTTTTCTGGCCTCTGAGGGCACCTGCATGCATATACATGGTGCACATGAACTTATGCAGAGACACACAAAACATACATAAGTAAATCATAAAAAATGGAAGTGACTTTCACAGTATGGTTGAAAACTAAAATTAAGATTTTAAAATTTGATATTAAAATGCTTTTAAATTTTTAAAGAGAAAACAAGGTAGGTAAATACCTACAAACCAAGAGCAATGTTAGCATAAAAATATGAATATGATGAAATTATATACCTTCCTGGATGGTGGAGACACAAACTTGTCTCTAAAATTCCCAGGAGTCCACTCAGGAGAGACATGCACTGGAGTGAACACTTAGCACAAGCAGGAAGGAATTTAAAGCATCTCAAGTGTGTGTGTGCCCTGGTACTTAAAGCACTCCAGGATGACTCTCTATAGTAGACTAACAATATGTGTGCAAAAGAAAAGGGAGGTGGGAAGGAGGGAAGGAGAGGGTGAGGAAGGGAGCAGGGAGGGATCGAGGGAGGGAGGAAGAAGAAGGAAGGAAGGAAGGGAGGGAGGGAGGGAGGGAGGGAGGGAGGGAGGGAGGGAGGGAGGGAGGGAGGGAGGGAGGAAGAAAAGGAATTGGACCTAGGAGCTGCTATTTCAAAACAGGTGAGAAATGTTATCTTAACAAAAATCTTAAAAGTCCCATGACTGCAAGTTGTTATTATTAAGATCCTATAAGATAACAGATCTGCAAAGAAAATGAATCAGTAGCATGTTTAAGTTTAAAAATCCTGGGTATTAATCAAGAAATTCTTTTTGTAGGATTTCCCGATGCATGTTTAAGGCTTTTATATCTATATCAAAAATATAATTTTATAAAGGTACTTATGTCCAAGAGGTATGCTCAGAGGTAACAAAATAAGAGTTGTTTGTCCCCTAAATCATCCCATCTGTGTCCATTGGATGATACTCAAACCTTCCTGCAGCCACATGCATGAAGCAATTGGCTAAAGGTCCTCGTAGACAGGATGTGTCCTATTTGCATTTGATGTCGTCTCCTTTTTAAAATAGAAACACCATTCATTTGTCCTACTTATTTTATCTGCCTTTTGCATACGGATTTCCTCCAAACTGAAAAGAAACATCAGGTCACTGTCAATACTCCTCAAAATATCTTGGTGTTCAGCAAATCTCAGTGTCTTAGGTAGGGGAGTGCTAACCTCTGCTTCCTCGAAGCAGTTTATTCTCCTCCACCTCCAGCTATGTTCTGCACTGCCTCCTCTACCACCGCCCCCATCTTTGAAGTTGTCTGCATTGGAGCAGGCTTGCTGAACGCTGGTTACACACCTAGCTCTCAGAGTTAGAAGCTGTCCATGTGACAGACTTAATCAGTCCCTTGGTTTCTCAGACGCACAGCTGGTGCTGAATTCTTTTTGGCTGGTGTAATATTGTAAGCGTCTTAAAATTAAAGCTGCCATTAAATTTCCATCCGTTCTTCAAGGAGGCTGCCTTTTGGAAATAGCACATGTACGCAGTTCTATGTGGTGGTGCCAAAGAGATATTTTCTTCTACATCAAATCTTTTCGAGTTCGGAAAGAATGGCCCAATTGAATAGAAAAAGTTAGTGAAGAATCCAAGTTGTTGGATCTGGGCAATAGCCGGTTCCCTAGAATTATTGGTGAAAATAAAAATATGACTCTCCTTGGCAGGTATATGCTACAGATGCTGCGTTTAAAATGAAACAGAGAAAACATGTGGGATTTATAGAAACTCTTTCCTTGTCCAGATTGCCTGGCTTCTGCAAGTCAAAATGTCACTTCTGAAACACGTCATTTACCAGTTCTTCAGCAAAACAAACAACCCTCAGGAAAGACCCCCTTCCAAGGAGGGGATACTAATAGAGCTGGAATGTCATGACAATCAAGGGAATGGACCTTCAGAGATCACCAGATTGTTACAAGGAAATCAAAGAGAGGATGAGCAAAGGCAGTATGAGACAGAAAGTCTGTCGAGCAACCAAAGGGAGTCTTGCTCCCCCAAGAGCTGCTCATCTCAGGAGAGATTCCAGGTGTGGTGGGGAGACGGAGGTTGCCAGTGAGCAGTAGGACACTTAACCCCTTTGTGAACAGAACTGGTACTCAGCTCTCATCTTTTTTTTAGCACATCTATAATTTGCCTTCAGGCCCATAGCCACAGTCACCTAGCAAATCTTCATCAGGCAAAATGGATGGTCAGAGTTTTGAATTCACCGTAATGGAAGTAAAGCACAGAAAAAGACACATTAAGCCTCTGCTGTCCCCATAAGGAACTCTGTGGAGCTGGGGTTTGTGCTTAGGGTGTGACAGCCCAACAGTCTTGGGGATGATTCCAGGCTCTCGAACTTCCCAGTCCCACGGTCCCTATTGAGCAACTGTCTGCCTACTCAATCCTCAGGTTTCTCTTCTGACAAATGGGAATGGTACCCTTTCATAGTCAAGGAGGAAACTGTGAATTATTGCAGGCTGTAGACAAAGTGTGGGTCGCAGAGTGCTCACTTAAGTAGAGTTGGCTGACCAAGGAGAATATTTGGGAATCCTATATTCTAGCATATTTTAAGAAATTATTTGCATTTAAGGCAGTAAAGCACTGGGTTAGGAACATCCTATATGACATAAATCTAAGAACAGGATAGGCTTAGAACACAGAGAGTAAATAATCATAATCCCATACCTTTGTAAAGATTATGGTGCAGCAATAAATTGGATGTGTAACAGAATTCTGCATTCTGGGGTTCTCTAGATGTGAGGATAAATTCACAGGAGTAAATATGAACCAGATGGTGAGGATAAAATCATGGGAGTAAATATGAAGTTCTCTTCTCCATTTTTGAAAAGTAGATTATCACTTTTTTTTACATTTTGGATGATATCTAGATTCTTAAACAAGATGGGAGTGAAAAGCTATGATTCAATTGTGCACACTCATCTTAAAGGAATGAATAAATGCTTTTATCTTGGTTTAGCAATTATTGTGCTTGTCTCAGAAGGGAGAAATGCAACTCCCATATCTGCAAACTCACCTTGTTATGGGCAAATTGCTCAATATCCTTGTTAATCATCTCCACACAGAAAACAGCATACTAATATTTACACACCTCACAATGTGCTGTGGGGCTTAATTACTGTTTGAAAGATTGTGATCCTCGGATGCAAAGAACCATAGAATGCAAGCATTTTATTTTTCAACATGTGTTAAGGACCAAGAATTTAAGAGGCCATTTATACGACAGAGGGCAATAAATACATGCAGATCTGTACATGAGATGAACATGTACACGTGCCCCTGGCATGGTTCCCTGTGAAAGTGGCATGGCGGGGTTCATCAGATTCTAATTGCAGAATGCTCCTTCTTCGGCTCCGGCTTCGTGTGCTAGGCAGTGATAAAGCTGTGATGAAGACAAGAAAAGAAGAGCCCCTCATTCACCAGAACACCGCACCTTCAGTTCTTAGGGACCTGCAGAGTTTACGAGGGTCAGGCTAAAGGACTGAGCAGCAGCAGGAACACAAGTAAGATACGCCTCTGCCTTCCTTTTCATTTCTGGTATTTCGCTTCCGTATATCCTGTGTGCCAGGCCCTCACGGGATTCTCCCTTTTCGCACCCACCAGTCCCAGGACGGGAACATGCCGGCTGCTCCCCAGGCACTGCTTGCCCACAGACTGCATTTTCCGAGCCTCTTCAGAGACCCTCGCCAGGCTTGATGATGTGTAAGCACAGTTTAAGTCCTGACGGAGTTCCAGTGCAGACAAAGGGGCTTCCAATGAGCTTAGCCACTCTCCAGAGTTACCAGCTATAGCACACAGAGAATTTCATCTTTGACTGGCCTTAAACCACCCTTCAGTCATCACCACAGCCATGACTGAGGCATTTTTATAGCCCAGCACTCCATAGCAACTTACTGCCTGTCGTCCAGAATTCCAAACCCTCATCCCTGATGCTTTTCCCCTAGCCCTACTTTATACTTCAAAACTCAGCTCATGATTTTTTCCTGCTGTCTCAGAAAACGAGTTATACCATCTACAAGTGTCCCACAGTGTTGATTAAAACAAGCGTGTTAGCCTGGTTCCATTCATGTATCTACACACAAATATTCACATATTCTGTAGATTGATAAATAATATCTGTAAAAATAATCCACATGCTTAAATATTTTAATCTACTATTGACATGTAAATTGTTTATGTAGCATGTATGTTACATGTGTTTTTACTTATATGTATATGTATATGTTTGTATATAGATATATAATGTCTTCAATATACATTTCCAGTGCATTTGTAGTTATTAGGTAAATATATTAATCACATTAAGTATTATTTGAATATATTTATAGGTTTGTGTAGGTGTGCATTGTCATGGTTGGGATCTGTAATGTCCCCAAAGTCCCCAAGTGTTAAAGTTTGCCCTCAGCTATTAGACCAAACTACGGAGAGGTGGTGGAGTCAAGTGGATCCTGACAAAAGACCATTAGAGAAGCAGCCACCCCAGCCACTTCCTCAGCTCAGGACTTAGTGTGTTGCCACAATCCCAAACAGAGTTATAGAGCCAGCAAGCATGAACTGGAACTTCTGAAACTATGACAAAATTATTTATTTTCCCTGTAAAGCATTCACCTCAGGACTCTGTCACAGGGAAGACTAATAGATACATATATTCATAGATGTGTATGCTTCATATTGTATATTTATATATTTAGCTAATTTCTATTTAGAGTATGCTCCATTAAATATTAAATTTAAAATAAATATAATTATTACATTTCCCATCTGCTTCAGTCACAAAGCTATGAACTCTACTAAGCCAGAAGTTCAGAAATGAGATTGAGACCCAATTAGACACAATGCCTACCTTTGTTAAAACACTAGCTCCAAGTCAAATGCTGATTTCAGTGATCAATCTGTGCATTTGATCTCATTTAATCTCCACAACCATCCATTAAGATTGGTATTACAATTACCCACACTCATAGGTGAGGAAATAAAAACTCAAACAAATGATATAATGTACCATTAGCCTGGGATACTTAGGCTACCAGCCAGGTTTGGTGCTGATTCTTCATCTGGCCTCTGACCACCTGGTGATGCTGGAAGCCACATGAGGATGCTAAATCCTGGTGGGTAAGAGCAGGTGCTCAGTAGTCAGCTAAGCACAGCACACATCTGCAAGCTGTTCCCTTTGCACGGTGTAGATCCGTAACATTCCTCTGTCTTTCATTGCTCGTGGACCAAGGTCTGAGGTGAATCCTGAACTGGGAGGGAAAAAAACGCAACCCCCTTTAATGAAGGAAAACTCAGATTTCATAAGCAAGACAGTTTTAGCATCTTCAGTGTAAATCACTGAGACTCTTCTAACTCCAATCTGACTCTGTGAGCAAAGCAGAGTCCCATGCCTTTCTCCCACCTACAGGATGAGAAACCCGCATCTGGACAGGACCCTTGAGCGGCTCCTACATGTGACATGGCTTAAGAAGCACACGCAGAGCAGTCTCACCTCCTGCACAGGCGCATTAACTGTGGTTCTAAATGAGAACCACATGTCCCTCTGCTACTGGGCCAACAATTCTAACTACAAGGGATGGAGGGGTTGTGGGAGTGACGTGGGGATGAGGTAGAACGAGAGACTAGCATCAGCTTCACTGCAAGTGAGCTGTATGGCCTCATGGTAGCTTACTGACTCTGTGACTAAATCTCCCTCTGCAGGGTTCATGAGGGTGAGGGAAAATGAGATTGGCAAGAGAGGAATTAGGGACACTGTTGGAAAAGTGACCATTTCAGTTCAAATATCCATTACAGAAAACATTGACGTAAGACATACGCCTGATTGGAATTGTCGAGGATTACATTTCTTCTGGCTTCGCTGCTGCTGTGTTTCCAGCACGTGGTAGTGGTCCTGCAAGTGACAGGAGTCAAAACTGAACAAAGGCCTCTGGTGCCCTGAAAAGCACCGCAAATCTCCCTCTGAGGCAGGGCCTTCTTCTGAACATCTGCAATAATTTTATATCAGTCGGTACTTAGAACAATGGAACAAACTTTTCAAGTGACATTATCCACAAATTTGCCAACACTGATTTCTGTAGGGACTTACGGTTTGAATATTCCTTTATTAGCCAGAGCATTGGCTCATGATGAGATTCAAACATTTACACACTTGCAAACTTCATATGTGCATTCATTCATAATTATTTTAGGACTGCATAACACTCCCTTAAATTAATGTGTCTGATGAAGTCCACACTGTTGAATGTTTTTATGAGCTCAATGTTTCATCTTAGTTTAGGTACTAGAATGGACATCCTTTAAATGGACATTTAAGAGGCATTTCTTTGATAGTCATGGGAGTGAACTGATTGGAGCAAAGAGTTCAGTGTTGTGGTAGTTACTGGTAAAGAAGGCTGAAATTTTGTTTTTGGTTCCAAAATTCTAGAATTCTAAGAAAATCACATTTTCTGGTGGCTGTAAGAAAGACTAGGAGATAGCAGCCAGCTACTAGTGCCACCAAAATCCTTGGGCAAAGCCGCCATTCCCACATTCTTTTCTTTCATGGACGATTACAACAAAGTGGGAACCTCATGCTAGAAACTGGCTTAGAGCATCCAATGGGTGAAACATCGTGTTACACAGATGACCAGAGACTACTAGAATAAACAAGACAAACTCAGAACTGCATTCTTTCCCAGAATCTTGGAGTATCACTTTTGAACATGAATTCATGTTCTGTTTCTTGCCTGTTTTTCAAATGTCAAAAGAAGGAGCTGATGTCACAATGAATTAATATCCAGAATCGTCCAACCCCGAGACAGGTTCAAATCCTCCCTAGTTAAAAGTAAACATGAATTTTTTTTCTGGCTTCTTGGAGATCTTTAGTGGATATTTCTTGAACCCCCCAGTTTGACCTTTGACAGGATGATCTCAGCATCTGTTTTGTCCTGGTGCCCTGAGGGCTGAGATGGGGTGAGGCAGACACCACCACTCCGGAGGAGGAGTGAGAGACTTATCTCCCACCTGCACTCCTGGGGATTCCAATCTACTGTTCTACATCCCTCTATCACCAGGCACACAGCTGCAGCACAAGAGAGACGGGAAAGGGACAGGAGGAGCCCTGGCCCCGCGACTGACTTGGAGAGACAAAGGCCATCGAAGCAGGGCAGTAGAATCCACCAGCATGGCCGCAGTATTGTCCCTGGCCGTAGTGAACCTAATAGAGGGACCCGCCCGACAAGTGTCCCCTTGGTGTAGACAGCTGCTCGTAGCTTGAGTCATGACTTTGATTTTTCTCTTGGAGACTATAGCAAGTTATAGCCACCCCTATACCTGATTGCCCTTTCCTCCAGGAAGCCTTCCTACCAGGTTGGGTTGCACACCCCCGTGTTTTTGGCCCCTGTGGCATCCTTCTCCCCACATTGGTGCTTCCCTCACAGCCCGGGACAAGCTGTACCAGTCTGCTCTCCCAGTGAACATCAGAGCGAGCACTACCCACCCATAGCGTGTCCCACTGAATCTCAGTGGCCATCTCTCAGTCAGCCCTTTTTCTTCCCCTGCTTTTGGAGTTTCAAGACACACTTTCTCTGCGTAGCACTGGCTGTCCTGGCACTCTCTCTGTAGACCAGGCTGGCCTCGAGCTCAGAGATCCGCCTGCCTCTGCCTCCGGAGTGCTGGGATTAAAGGCGAGCGCCTTCAACGCCCTGATTCATTCAGCACTTCCATTCACGCCTTTCTGTGCATCTCAGGAAGATCTTCTGAATGGACTTGCGCTCCACCTGAAGCGACTCTGAGAGACAGGGTGCTGCCACAGAGGCGCACCAGGGTGGCAGAAGAACTCAGGATTCTGGGGGGCAGCCCCAGCTTCCTGACAGCTGGGCTCTTGTTGAAGCAAGCCAGATTCCCACCAGAACCCCTGTGGGTCTTCATATGGAACCCGTGATGACAGGAAATGACAAACGGTCTTTCCCTCAAAAAGGCAAGTCACACTTGGGTCACCCCTGGCTCAGTGTCGGGATGCAACCCAAGATGATCAGACTATGGGGAAACCAGACTCACACACGCCTGCTAAAGGAGGTGGTCACGCAGATCTGCTTTACCCCTTCCTTTTTGCTTAAGTTGGCCTTTTCAGTTTAAAGTGTATTTAAGTAGATTGTTAAAGGGTCAGAAGGGCAGAATCCGTTTCCGTATCGCTCACCCACCCGACTGTGTTCCTAGGAGACCCACCGCGTGGATGACCCGGGCCTGGCTGGCCCTGAGCTTGCTAACTGGTTGAGTTGCTCACCTCTCAACTCGGGGGCGCAGGCCCCGCTTCCATTTTTCAGCTCAGCCAAACGGTAAGCCTGTATTTCACAAATGTTGAACATTTTTTCCCCGGCCCCAAGAAACGTAGGAATAAATTCCTCACCACTAAGGCAGATTCCAGGGAAGGAAGAGTCAGCCATCCAGAGAGGAGAAGGGAACCAGGCAGTCAATCAGTTCCGGCCCAGTGAATCACAGCCCTGCAAAGACCTGCCTCCAGGCTTCTGGTCTGCAGTTCTAGAAGATTCCAGAATGCCTCTGCTTTAATGTTATCCTGATCACCTCCTCTAGGTTTTCTTGCCCCTCTCAATATTTGAGATCCTGGTCCCCTACCTGACTCAAACTCGATGCTAATACTTCCTCCTGGAGTTGAGTATTTAAAGGGAGTAGTAGCAGGTTTGCTGTCCAGGGACTGTGCTCGTTCGTGCTCAGGCCTGTGGGCCAATCTGTTTGTAAGAGGATTGGTATGCCGGGGGATAGCTGGGAGAAATGCTGCGCCTCCCTTTATTAGATACCTCCTGCTGCTGTTGCACCTGCTGTGCAGCCTGCATCCGAGAATGTAGCGAGGTGGTCGGGATAGATGACACAGAGACCGGTCGGTTGCTTTAAGAAAACTTTATGCTTCCCAAGTTGGCTTAGAAGCACTCCCCAAGAAAAAACACTTCCCTTTTTAAGGACTTCTGCCATCCATCTACATACAATTCTCCAACAACTCTCTCAGACTTCTCACCCTCCTGGCTGGTGGTTTAATCTTCAGCCCCAGAATCGGGGAGACACAGCAGGGGAACAGGAAGAAGCATCTAGCCGTAGGGGGTGTCAAAGTCATGGTGCTTCAGTGAGCAAGCCCTTATCTGAGCCCTATCAAGAGCTTTATAGCACTGAATTGTTTTCAGTAAACATTATCTCACAGCTGTCTGCTCCCAGGCCAAAGGGGAAGTGGGTTTCTGTTCAAGGTCTGGTATCCCCACATGCTGCCACTTCTTTCTTGTCAGCTGTTCCATCTGGGGAGGCGGCGGAAGGGGAAGGCCTTGAACTCAGAGACTTGCCTCCTCCATTGCTCTGTGTTCACCCGGTGAAAGAACATAGAACCCTTCGTCAAAATACACCCAGAAATTAGAGCACATGTGGCAAGCCCTGAAAAACGCTGATTGAAAGGGGCCAAGGGCTCGGCTAGCTTGGATGAGAAGAGAGGAGAGGATGAATCTCTAAGATTTCAAGTACAAGGGCTAGAGAAATGGCTCAGAGGTTAAGAGCACTGCCTGTGCTTCCAAAGGACCTGAGTTCAATTCCCAGCAACCACAGGGTGGCTCATAACCATCTGTAATAAGATTTCAAGTCCGAACAAAATGCTTTTGCTTCCGGTTGTTGTTGTTGTGTGTTTGTTTGGTTTCTGTTGTTTTATTCATTGCCTCCTCATTTGAGACTGCATGGCCCACTGTGAGTCAAGAGTATCCCAAGAAGTCTAGCAATCAACCTCAGAGCCTGAAAATGGTAGTTGGAAAAGCAGGGAAGCCAGGTCCTAAGATCTTTGTTTTATCACATATTGTTAAGTGAGACTTTAGGCAACATGCTTAGTCCAAGCAGATCTCCAGCTTCGGGTCTGTAAAATGTACATCGCTCCTGTGGGAAAGCAGACAGAAAGGCAGCTTGGAACCGTGAAGACCATTTCAATGGCCATGCCCAGCAGCAGGGCCTTGAGTCCATTGTCATCGCCGGACAGCTTTCTGACCTGTGCTAGGCTGCCTGAAAGCTAGGAGAAGTTTACTTTATCTTTGATTCCAGACTTTTCCACAAGGTGCTAAGAAATTATATCCTTTTCTTTTGCAGGGTAGCAATTACCACAGCCCCAGTATCTTTAAAAATATTCCCATTAATTATCTTATACGGAGAACTTGTCTCGATTCTGTACTCAAGGTCTCACAAGGCTAAAAATCTAGAAGTCAGCCAAGGCCAGTTCTTGTCTGGAGGC